GAAAAATTTCATTTTTTCTGAAAAGGTGGTGTCTATTTACTTGTGACCATGCTGTGTATATATATATATATATGTAAGTAACTGCATCTCTAAAAGTCCAAATCTGCTTTATACTATGTTAAGTTGTTGTTTTTATTCTGATAATATGCATTAGCACTGAACCAGGAAGGTATGCAGCATTTTGCCAAAGAGCTCTTGAGAGGGCACTTTTGAATAGTGGTCGTGAGTGCCAACCGTCCCGAATGGAAGTTCTCAGTATTTTGCTCAAAAACCCTTTCCATCACTGCCTACCACATAGCATACCAGTTCACTTTTTAAATGGCACTTATCAGGTCAGTGATTTGTCTTTTATGTGGACAATTTTTTTATGGTTCAAATTTCAACTTTTGGTGTGTTATTTTTTATCTTCTAATGATATAATATCTACCTTTTACTTACACTTATGTCTTATTTGAATATACTTTATTGAGCAGGTGTAATAAGTATTGCATCTGTCATTGCTGTATATCATGATATACCTTATTTCACTTTTTGTTGTTTCTTAGAAGTTTTGTTGTCAAAAAGTCCAGAAAATATCCCTGCTCCAGCTTTTATTGACTGAGGAAGGGGAGGGGGGACATGCAATGGGGCTAGTAGGGTTCTAACTAAATTTTAAGTAAGCCTTATCTATGCTTGGGAATGCAATAGTTCAGTTGTTTTAAAATTGAATAAAAGCTAAGTAGACAAAGTAAAAATTTCATTTTGTAAGTCCCACATATTGACAACAGTGACCCCAAGAGGATTTGATGGGAAAACCAACAAAACTATTATTATAAATTAAGATAGATATACAAAAATCTCTTTAAAGGATAGTGTTAGTCTGGAAGGGGTGGGACAATAACATTTAAAAAAAAAAGACAAAGCCTCCCCTCTCTCTCCTAGTGGTCCCAGCCCTCTAAAAAAATGTTTTTCTTTGTTTAATTGTTGGTGTTTAGGAATTTAATATAAAAAATTCCAACAATTAGTATATTTTTTGGGGCCTTTTGTTTCCACTATTTACTTCTTTGGCAAAATATATTGTCTGGCACTGAGCAAGTAACCTAACATACTAGTGCTGTTGCTAGTGGTAGGGGAAATTGGATTTTAAGTTATATATACAGAAATATTGAATACAAGTCTAAAGAGTTTATAATTTCATTGTATAGGCTCCTTACCTTAGGAAGGGCATTGAATTGTTGGAAAAGGTTCAAAGGAGGGTTAGTAGAATGGTGCTAGGGAAGGAGGGTTTGTCATATGATGGGAGATTAAAATATTTGAAATTGTTTTCTCTTGAAAAAAGAAGAGTTAGAGAGGATCTGATTAAGGTGTTTAAGATTGTAAAGGGAATTAATAGTGTTTATGCATCATCTTTTTTCATACTTAACAGCAAGAATAGTAGGATTAGGGGACACAAATATAAATTTTGGCAAGGTAGGAGTCATCTTCAGCAAAGACCATTTTATTTTTCTGACAGGGTGGTTGGTCTCTTGAATGGGTTGCCTTCAGATGTTGTGGAGGCAGTACATTTAAGTGAGTTTAAGAGAAAGCTTGATAATTATATGAATGTTAAAGGCTGGCTTTAAGATTTGTTTTTAATAGTTTTAATTTAGCTTAGAGGATGGGACAGCCGAGATGGACCAATAGGTCCCTTGTTGTCCCTAAACATTATGTTATGTTATTGGTTTAATATTTTCTGGTGTATAGGTGTAATATAACATTGATTAACAAAGATTTTGTATGATTCCATATAGTAAGTTAGTCAGCTGAAAATAAAAATAACTTATGTATTGATTTATTATTCTGTTAAAGCTGCATCTAATATAAAAATATTTTCAGTCATATTTTTTGGCTACGGTAAAATAGTTTTTCTCACTTCTTACATATGAATGTGCAATACAAAACATTTATCCATCCATCAGCAACACTTATCAACACTTTTACCTTATCTTCTCGTTAAAGTAATTAAGTTTTTCTTGAAAATAAAAAGTGACAAATAACGCTTCCACAGTGGGAGTATCATCAAGACCAACCACCTAGAGAAAGAACACATAAACTATTTTGTTTCCTAGTAACATTCTGATGCAATCTAGGAACAACTTCTAAAACTACAACGTATACTCTAAAATACAAAGATGTCATTCAGCTGATAAAATAATGTAATATATTTTGCTCTAATGTTAGGCTTAACGTTGTTGTCAATAGGCTACTTGTATTTACTTTTGATTAATTATTCCCAGGTACAGTGGTTAAGAGTAGTGTAGGTATTAAGTGCTCACACGTGGCATGAACATTTGAGGAAGCTAGTAGTGAAAATGTGAAATTTGTATGTTGAGTTTGCGAGTTGGAGGAGAAATTTGAGACGATCCTAAATACAGCAGAAAGGCAAAGTGTAGGAGAGTTCATATAAATAGGAAAGAAGTTAATATTTTGTTTTCTTTCTGTAGGTGGTTGGTTTCGATGGTTCTTCCACTGTGGAAGAGTTCATACAGACTATCAATGCTGAGTCTGGTATACGAGACTGTGTGCAATCAGGGTTTGCCCTATTCACAGATGATCCTATTGACAAAGAATTGGAGCATTGCCTTCAAAACTCAGCTAAGGTAAACCATGATGTTTAAATTTTTCTATCCGTGATGGCTGAGTGTTCAGTACCAACAAACAATTTACAATTAAAGAAGTTTTCCTTATTAGTTATTCCCTTATAACATACTTTCTACTCGTTTGAAATAATTAAAATACATAATTTGAACAAAGGATTATTTAAATGTATAGCTAGGAAATAATATAACACTATACAACGACACAACTCATATCCTAAATCTTAAAGCATGTTTTCTGTAAAATGAAAGCTCTCATCTTCTAGACACTATAGGTTTCCTAAATCCTTCTATGTTTGTGTAGGTGTAAAGGTAACTGAAGTTTGTTTGTTTGAAATTGGAAATGCAGGGAGAGAAGGAAGAGGAATTTATTATTTAAATGACTTGAAAAGAAAGATTTGTAAATCATATCCATATATTTTTAAGTTTGATATCTGAACTTACATTTTTTTTCAAAATTGTTTAATATAGAAATGATAAATTAAAATACTCAAGTTTTTCTAATGCAGTCAAAGTGCTGAAATAATTTTTACAGTTATGTAACTTTTCATTATGATGAAACGATTTCTCTTCTTCAAAATAGTATTGTTTACATTTCAGCTTTGTGATGTCATATCAAAATGGGAGCAGGCTTTGCGGGAAGGACATCTGGGAAAATTTGAGACCACAAAAGTTGTTAAGTTAACCTACAAAAACCGGTAGGAAGTTCTTCAATTTTCTATCTTGAGCTTCCATTTGTCATTTTGTATATTTTTGTAAAAAATTACAAAATTATTCTATTCACCAAAGTATAAAAATCTGAAGTATCTTCAGTAATCATGGAGTTCGTCTCTACGGACAAACATTGTGGGGAAAGTTTTAAAATAAGCCACTAATTTTAAATATGATTAATAATTGTTTTTAATTTATAAAGCTATCATATTTATGCAATATCAGATGACACTTTGTGTAGTGTAAGTTACTGGTTTGATCTCGCAGTCTTTCTGTAAATAAACTCGTAAAACATTTATTTCTAATTTATCAAAGCTGGAGATGCTGGTCATAAATATATATATATATATAAGAAGACGGGAAACAAGTTGATTTTCTTCTATTCTTTCTCAAGGAACATTGATGTATGATTTAATTCATCTCTTCACTTTATTTTCCAAAATGAATAAAGCTACATAATTTTGTAAGAGAAAGGACTTCCATTCCTTAAATATACAATAAAATTATGTATTTAACTTTATTTTCAACTCTGTGGGTGTAAGATACAAAATTAATATTACATAATACAACAGTGGGAAGAAAGTATTACAGTACTGCCTCATTATAATGCCATTGGTTAAACATTTTCTTGGATATAACACTCTGGTGCCTTGTCTTCCAAAAATTTAGTATCGTCTGCTGTTTAGCCCATTGCCACATGGCTTCAGAGGCTAAAGTCTTTACACTCTGTCACAAAATAAAGGAAAAAAAGAGTGGAAAGTCCCAAGTGAAAAGCCCAGAGATCTGAACTTGAAATTGGGATGCTGGGAATTAAGGTAAGAAAGGAATCTGGAAATGCGATTCGATTGTCGAAATAGCAAGAAAATGTCATTGATACAGCATTTGTAAAAGACAGGTTTAAAGTCGCACGGGCAGTTTTATAACCAATTGTTTTCATGATAGTATAGAAAACTATTGGATATTGTTGGAACTATCTGGGATTCCATCTCTCTGGTCATAAATGACATAATTAAATATGAAATTATTTAACTAGTTGGTTATAACACTCCCACACTTATATCACTCTTGGGTGCACATGGTTCCCGATGGTAGTGCTGTAATGAGGCAGTAATGGAGTTAGCAACATATTATTTGCAATATTTATTAAATAGTAATCAGTTTTTTCATTGATTAATTATTGATTGAAAGCAGAGATTGGTTGTTGTTTTTTAATAAAGATCACTTCAGGCTGCACAGCTTGGTTTCTAGATGTAAAACAAACATTTCATTGCCTGTGTTGTATTTATCTTCTAGAAATATTCATATCATATAATATCTGTTATACAGTATATGAGAGACATATCTGTACGGTATTCAACAGTGTTTTACAGCATAAGTTAGATATTCCTATATAGCCTTCAACAATTTTTACACCATAAGTTAGATGTATTTACATAGCCTTCAACAGTTTTACAGCACAAGTTAGATGTTCCTTTATAGCCTTCAACAGTTTTCCAGCACAAGTTAGATGTATCTTTATAGCCTTCAACAGTTTTACAGCACAAGTTAGATGTTCCTTTGTAGCCTTCAACAGTTTTCCAGCACAAGTTAGATGTAGCTTTATAGCCTTCAACAGTTTTACAGCACAAGTTAGATGTTCCTTTATAGCCTTCAACAGTTTTACAGCACAAGTTAGATGTATCTTTATAGCCTTCAACAGTTTTACAGCATAAGACAGACATACCTTTATAGCCTTCAACAGTGTTTTATAGCATAAGTCAGATGTACCTTTATAGCTTTCCATTCAACTGTGTTTTATAGAATGAGCCAAATAAATATTTTTCATCTTTACTATGTTCTCTACAATATAATATATGGTCATTTTCATTAACTTTATCATTTTCTACAATGTAAATCCAGTATTTCTTCATTTAATGTAGGTCTGTGTTATCTTAATATGTGTTTCATATCGTAAATGCTGGTGTATATTTAAAGTCTGTGTGTGGAATATGTGCAGCTACTTATGTTTGTCAACTTTTCGCATGTGTCTTACTCTAAGGAAGTAAGTACATCTGCACCGGTATTACCATGTGTTGTACAGCATGAGTGAAGAATAACCTCTTCAACTCTCATGTGTTTTACTATATCAGTCATGTGCATTTTCAGACACTTTAGAATATCTTCCTGTTTAGTATGATTACTGAAATCAGTGAGCGCAACCATTTATTTTATTAACTACAAAAGAAAAGAATTAAGCATAATGTATTGTATGTCTCCTTGATCAGTGGTGACTCACTATACCGAATTAAGACACCCAGAACTTTCAACTTTCTTGTCAAACTATTATTCAAACATGCAATGGATTCTGATCACAAACATCGAAGTTCAGAAGCATGGACATTTTTAGGTTGGACTCTGTCATTGGGAAAAGTGAAAAAGGTATGTTTGATATAGTGCTTTTTATAATATAATAATTAAATCCCTTTTTGCCAAAATCAATTTTTAATGATAAGTAGTGTAAAAATGATTTTATTAGGAGAATTATCAAGAAACTGAACTATTTCAAATTAATTTATTTCTCTCCTAGAAACTGACCAAGATCATTCAGTTGAGGCTTGCAACTGTATTTTGAATGAAGGTAATCAAAATAAATTTATTATTATCAAACTAATATAGCAAATTTTCATTACTTTATAATTATCAAAATCTCATAATACAACCTTTCTAACTGATAAAATATGTTTTACTGAATTATATCATTTTCTGTGATGCAGGTGTTGTTATCGAGAAGCATCTTCATGAGAAAACTGAAGAAGCTGATAAAAAAAAAAGCTATAAATGTGTCACAGAAAGCTACAAAAAAAGTAGGCTTACTTTAACCACAGGTGTTGAGACCAGTGCTTCATATCCTTGTGCCATTTGTTTTGTTTTTGATGCTTTATATCATACCAGTTATCTGTTTGTTATCATCAAAAATTCAGTTTGGTAAAATAAAGTTTAAATAAAGATATAAAACATAAATGTTGCTGGTTTCATGTATTTTATTTTTATTATGTTTGTATGTTTGTCATTTAAATGTTACCTGTTTTAAATTTAATTCCATGTCAAACATTGAAAGTTATAAATAAATACAATTAAAAACAGTAACCTTTTTTAGTTTCTGTGCACATGGTTAAAATTTCTTAAATGTAACCTCAGTTGAAAAGAGAACAACCTGATGGCAATAGTGTAGAAGTTGGACATTTTTACAGATTTAAAGAAGATAAAAAAGTTTATTTTGAATTAGATGGAAAGAACCTAAAAATTTGATATGTTTATTAACTGAAATGAGAAGGAGAACACTTGATTCCATTTTTGTGTACATAATATGTTTCGAAAAGTCCTTATTTTATATGATTTCATAACAATCGTTCCACAAACTTACAAATTCTCAAACTTCAGAACATTTCAGACCATAATGTTTGACTACTGGCACAGCATTTTAAGCAAGCTGTTGCAAAAATTACACTTTGTTTTGGAAGAAAAATCATAGTATATCCATCTTCAAGCAGAGTGCTTGACCATGTTTATAGCATAGGAATCAATGTATGGTAGACTTACAAATCTGTTAACTACTGTTTCCAATCAGTTTTAACAAGTTAGTAAATAGTCTTCTCAACTGATGTATAAAACATACTTAGGCTTTTTTTGTATGAAGTGTTGTAAGATATTAAAAAATGTATGCAAGGATTTTAACATTTTCACACTAGAACTGTTTTTTAAGACATTTAGTGTCATTGGCTGAAATAAATACTCTCAGTTTTTAAGGATACAGGGAAGAAGCTTGAGTTTTATTAATCTCATTACTTACACTACTGATATAAAAGCTATTTGAATACAGTTAAGTGCTCTTCCTCCCATGTTAAAACCTTTATCTTATTCATTGAACTTTGTTTCTGAGCACATGGTTAAAATTTCTTAAATTTAATCTCAGTTGAAAAGAGAAAAAATAAAATAGAACAATTATTATGCCTTTGTTGTTATCACAATATGTTGTGCAGCTAGTAATTAATATTACCTTTATACACATTACCCCTTAAATATGCATGCATGTATGCATGGGGGTTTGGTCAAACCCCCTATTTTTGTGATGTAAAAAACATTATGCTTATATGAGATGTACACAAACCGAAGAAAGACGGAGCGCTCTAGCTTTAATACATAATCATTATGACACTGCTATCAACACTGAAACTGTATATAAGTTATTTATGGAAAAACACCCCAGAAGAATGGAACACGTTAATGTGTTATTTCAGCAGTGCATACATGTACGTATATGATAGCCAGTGATTGAAATAGCTAATATACTATTGTTGTACGGAGTTGTTTAAATTAGTAATATAACTTAACAGTTAGTAACTACTCTGTATGTAGATAGTACAGTACTTTACTATAATAGAACATACATAGTTATGTTAATTTAAGACTAGCTCCCCATACAGTGTTACAACAGAATGATGATTTGTTGACTCGTCATTGGATGTTTTTGGATTTTATGTGAACAGCCATGCAAATGTTTAAAGCTATATTTCATGCAAAATTGCTTCTAGATTTTAATCTTGTAGCATCTTTTTGTTTTTTTCTAGGGGGGGATGCCCTCAGACCACTGTAGCATTAGCATGATTTGCATGCTGATTGTGTTTCTCACAATATGTATTGGCTTTTGATCTCACAAATTAGAATCCCCCTTTCAAACATTCTGCATACAGGCTTATTATGAAACCAACCTTTTTTTTTTTCTCCATATTTTCAAGTTTGGATTATTCCATGTTATGCTTATGTTATTTATGTTATTTTATGCTTATGTTATTTTATTTCACTACAACCTTATGGTAATGGGGTTTTGTTTTTTAACATAAGTAAACCAGATAATACGTATTGTTATACCTCTGGTCGCTAGTTAATTTTCCGTATAATTTCTTTCCGAAGAAATTTTAGCGATACAAGTCCTTTCTTAAATAAAACTGGTTTATTCTTTCTAAATACAACTTTGCAATACACTTAATTTCCACAGTTACACTATAACAAATGCTATAATTCACAACGAACGACTCACGTGCTCGACTCAATCGTCAATCTCTGTCTGCAGTTCAATTACATTGTTGCCATCACTTCTTGGGGGTCTTATATATACAAGAATACCGAAATCTAGCAAACGCTCGACGCTTCATGAACCTTCGAGAATATGACGTGTTACTAGCGTCACATGACCACCGCTGTTGTAACACTGCCCCTTCCTTAGTATTGTTCATCCCAAACAATAGCCACTTACATTAAACCAATAAAAATTAACAATAACTTAATTAAATGTACAGAATTTACAAACACAAAATTAAAATTCAACAAAGTCTCTTAATTTTACGGGACGTATCTTCTTCCGTACTGGTCTCCGTCTCGTTGGCTTCTGCTTCATGTGGGGTTCAGCTGCTTCATCAGGAAATGTCCTATCATTGGTAACAGTCACATCAGTGGTAGTAACTTCATCAAGGGCTTCGCTGTTTCCCTTCTCAAAACCGAGTAGAGTTTCTTCTTCAACAGTGGCTTTTTCAGATGACACGTCTTCAGCAGCATCATTTGTTCCGTTGTTCACTTCATCCTAACTGAAATGTCCTGGACCGTGATAATGCCAAAGCCTTTTGGCATGCACCACCTTTGGCTTACCTCGCCAACCACATTTTATCCGGAAAGTCACGTCTGAGAGAAGATCCACTATGTCATATGGACCTTCCCATGGAGAAGACAACTTAGGAGACTTTCCTTTGGTCTTCCTGGGATTATACAACCACACCTTGTCTTTTGGTGCAAAGCTGACTTCAGTAGATCTCTTATCATAACATAACTTCATCGAATCAGCAGACGTTTTCAAGTTTGAAC